CACTCAGTCTATTGAACCACACCAGCCAGGGCAAGATATTTATTTTATTTTTTTATTTTTGATTTATGTAATTTAGAGAAAAGGGGAAGGGAGGGAGAAGGAGGGAGAGAAACATCAATGTTAAAGAGAAACATTGACCAGCTACCTCTCAAATATGCCCCCCAAGCAGGATGAACCCGTGACTCAGGCGTGTGCCCTGATTAGGAACTGAACAAGGGACCTTTTGGTTTGTGACAGTGCTGTTCTATATATTTTAACATCAATCTTTTTTTTTTTTTTAAACATGCTAGACTTTGTTGTTTTTAATCTCTGATGCTTTGTCCATTGTAATATACCTTAGTATGGCTACTTATTTTCATTTGTTGTATTAGTACATTCACTCAGCCTGTATACTGTCAATGTAAAAAGTGTCCAAATCTGTAGAGAATTTTTATAAGTTCATTTGAGCCAAATTGACAACATTGCCAGGAAGCGAGATCTCATGCTCTGGAGAATAATGGTTTTTTGAAGTTTCTTTTATACATTTGAAATTAAGGAGGAAAAGTAAGGAAGGTTACATGAAGGTGGGAGAAAGCAAGGAGGGCATTGGATTTCAGGATAGTTCAGACTCTGTGCCCTCTTGAGGGTGGTTACGCTTCAGGGCCTGAAAGAGAGGCTTAGTCTGGCATTTCTAAGGTGTGTGAACCTAGATGCCCAAGGACAATGAACAGGGCTTGCTTTGGGCAAAGATAAACCTTTTATTAAAGAAGCTATATGCCTGGGGCGTGACTGCCACCAAGACCTGTTAAGTTAGGAATTTATGATGGGATCACCTTGTGAGGTTACTTTCCATTACTGGGTTCACCATTTCATTACAGAACCTGAGTCCTTTTTTTTTTTTTTTTTTTTTTTTTGGCCCACAATATTGATGAGCTTCAGTTTGGGAAATTATGTCTCTGGCAGTTTCTTCCTCTAAAGTCTGTTTCTAGTTGGTTGGATGTTAAATCACCTAGATTAACTTCCTCATTTCATTATTTACTCTCCTATTTGACTTTTGGTTCCACTTCCTGGGAGATTAGAAAGACGGGGAGACGACCTAGTCTCTGGAGCCAAGAGGTCTGTTTGCTTCCTCGCTTTGCTGGTCTCTGGCCCTGTGCTTTATGTTGGTTACTTATCCTTTGTGTTTTTCATCTTTAAAATAAGGTTCATATTAGTACCTAATTCAGAGGATGTGAGGGTAGATAATTTCCTATTACATAGGAAATGTTCATTATTATTTTCATTTGGCATCAGTATTACCTCAAGTTAATATTCTTTTTATTTGAATTCATAATTTCTATCAAAAGGTTAATTATCAAGAGCTTTTATTACTTCTCTGTTCTTAGTTACAGCTGTTTCTTGTTTTATCGATGCAGTATAATTTTGAATTGTTGGGACAGTTGAGAAAATTTGGAAAAACCCTTTAACATATAAGATGAACACCAAAACAAATAAATAGAAACAAAAGAAAATAAATAGAAAAATATAGAAATTTTATAATTATAAGGTTTTTGGGGGGTTGGCAGTGCTGAAGTTTTCTGTTTCCTGCATTGACCGTTTTATCATAGTGCCCCCTTTTCTATTACTTTGCTTTGGTGCACAACTTACATGTTGGAGGCTGTTAAATTTCCGCCTAATTAGGTTCAAAATACATTTTGCAGAAATACACATGTCCCCAGTATGATGTCCTCAGTGAATCACAACCGGGGGACAGGTGTCAGCTTGCCTTTTTGTGGCGATACTAGGTTTAAACATTTGTTAAAGGTGGTATCGGCCAGTTTCTCCATTTTAAAAGTTCCATTTTAATCTTTGCTAATTGAGTGACTTTGGCTGGCTTCTTTAAGGATGTATAGTTATTATTATGTACTTTGACCTTCTTAAATTTAAAGTACTGTAATCTACCAATCACATCGTCACCCGTTTTGATCTTCAGATTGTCCACATTTGACCAGAAGAAGCCCTTTCAAGCTGGTTCCTGTGCCTTTTTGTATTTGTATCAGTGTTGGAGAACTTCCTTAGTCTGGCGCAACAAAACATTCCACATTCCCTTGTGTTTTCCCTGGCCCCGACCTGGAGCCGGCTTTACCTCCCAGGGGTCCTGATTTCTTTTCGTAGGGGAATGACTGAGACCCAAGATCTGCGGGCTGGGTCTGATTTTTGCTCCTGAGGTGTTACTGCTTCTAGGTCTGTGAGTGGACTGAGCTGCGTGTATGCATACACGCACATGCATTTTCATTTATATCTATTTGTTATATAGTTAAGTTCATTTGTTCCATTCATTTAATTTTAATAGGGATTTTCTCCTAATCCTTGCTTATTTTTTATTTTTTAACTTATGTATCATTAGCATAGTTCAAAACTGAAAAACTTTATTAAAAGGTATACCCAGGAATACCTTCTTCCCTTAGTATTTCACTACATTCTCATCGTCTGTAGGTAACATATGTAAACTGTAGTTTTGAAGTTTATCATTCCTTGTTTTTTTTCCTTTTTGCAGATACACATATACCTGTATTACTTACCCTTCTTTTTGCTCAATAGCTAGCATAACATGTACATTCTTTTTCATGTTGCTTTTTTTTACTTGATGAAACCTGGGTACCTCTTATCAGTTTATAGAGACCTTCCTTGTTTCTTTTTTCTTTTTTTTAATACCTGTGTAGACTCCATTATGTAGATGAATAATGGCTTATTCACCAGATCTGGTATGTGTTTCTGATCTTGGGCTATTTCAAGGGGTGCCACCGTAAATTACTGTGCATGTTTTAATTAAAATATGAATTTATCTTTCAAGATTCTATGAGTAGACAGGGATCAATTGATAGGGTTTTGGGGCTCTCACCTGGAGTCTCTCAAGAGGCTGTAGACAGAAGTTGGAGCTGAAGTCTGTTCAGCCAGAGTGGGAAGAGCTTAAAACAATGGCACAGTGCTCCAGCGACAGTGATGGCCCTTCTCTTGTGCCTCCTGGATCAGAAGCAGCAGCCAGCCCTCAGAGCACAGGTTCCCAGTATTTGGAGGACAGGATGTCTTTGTCCCCGCTGGCTCCTGCAAGCTCTGTGCAGGCTGCTCCAGGAACAAGTGCGCTGCTGCCCGTCCCGTGGCTGGGGAGGAGGAAGGGAAGCTGCTGCCATGCTAGAGCTAAAATTAACCACAACATACTGCTCTGGGCCTCCTCTGGGGGTTGCAAGCCTTTAGTGGATTCCTGAGTTCTAATCAGACGGAGGCCACCAGTACAGTGGGTGTCTAGGTGGGGAAACAGATTCCTCCGGTGCTTCTACTCTGCCATCCTCCCAGAATCCCCTTGCTGTGCATATCTTACTCGGTATTGTTGGGGACATACCTGCAGGGTGAGATCCTAGTAATAGGATTGCTAAGAGAAATACGTATGTAATCTAGTTAGACATTGCCAAATTCCGTTCTGTGGAGTTGTACAATTTTGCATTCCCACTAACAATGGGTAAAGCACCTTCTTCCCCACAGCCTCACCATGTATTGTCAGGCTTCTGAGTTTTTGCCATCTGGGATGATTAATGTTATCTTAATGTAGAAATAAAGTGAAGCCTAAAGAGAGAAAACAATATACAAAGAACCACCGGAATATTTAGTTTTTAAAATGCTTTTAACACAGCGTGAAAAACAGTGCTTGCTCAAAATTACTGATTTGATTTAGGACGTCGAACACCTGGATTAAGTCCCCGTGCCAAAACCTCCCCTGGGTGTAAGTTCTGCCCAGGGCAGCGTCCTAGCCTGACTCACCTCGTGGCTGTGGTTCGGTTCTGTAGCACAGCAGGCAGGCGGTTCTGCAGCACAGCAGGCAGGCGAGTGTCTCCGGGGTCCCCCGCGGCCACTGCGGAGGGAGTGCTGCCGGCTCTGGCGCGGGTTCTGGGCTGACTTCGTTGCCTCCGTGGCCCTTGCCGCCCCCTGCGCCGTTTTCCTGTTTGCCCATAGTTCTGCTCTCTTACGAGTTGAGCTTACATGAGCCTGCGTAGGTGCTCCTGTAGTCTCTCTCTCACCTGCGTGAGACTTTTTGCTTCAGTCCTTTACAGCTGACCAGTGTCCTCTCTTGTTGATTTTTAGTCATTTCTAAGAAAAACAATGGGCTCAGACCACCTCTGCGTGCTCCGTCTGATTGTTGTTCCTAGGTAAACTGGGAAGTTCTTGGAGCAGGTGCTCAGTGCCTTAGGAGTGTCCAGGGAGGGGGCAGGAGAGCAGCAGGGCAGCAGCGAGGAACTGTGGATGGGGCAGCTCGTGGCACTTCCTCTCCTTCAGAATGCCAGCTTGGTTTTAGTAGAGCACGTTAGGTGAATAGGTAGTAGTGCAGATTGAATACTACAGGAAATTAGCTAATATTTAGGTGTCAAGATTGAGAGATCCGCCCTGTTGGATGCTGCTATTTTCTGTTTGCATTGTGACTTTAGTAGCGTGGCATGGCAGCAGGGCCACTGTGCTTGAAGTCCGCAGTCTTAGATTCTAGACCTGATTTTGCTGTTCGGAAAGGCTTCCCTTTCTTCATCAGATAAATTTTTAAAAGGTCAGTGGAGTAGAATAGTTTCTAAGGTACTGTCTAGCTACAAAGACTGTGACAAAGCTTGTGCTATACCGAGCTGGGGAAGGTCGTTTCCACAGCAGGGTCAGCATGCAAAGTTGTCATAACAAAATCAAAACTTCAGGTTAATGTGGAAAAATTAGAAACGAGAATGATTGGGCCCAAACATTAGAAAAAGGGGAGTTTTGTTGTGAACCAGATTCTCCTCATTTGAACTTATGTTATTAGAGATGGAATGATCTTTATAAACTACTTTAAATGGGATACTATAGTCACAAACTCTTTTTCTAACTTTTAAGTTGTAACTTAAAGTTGTAACTTTTGTAAGTGTAATATTGAAGTTTTAAATGCTCTACGTCTTCCATGCTTTTTTTAAAAAAAATCATAGTTGGATATTCCAAATAGTTAAGTAACATGACTTTCTTTTACTTTTTAGGATTTAAGTGCCCTGTATGCTCAAAATTTGTACCCTCAGATGAAATGGATTTACATCTTGTGATGTGTTTAACAAAGCCAAGAATAACCTATAATGGTAAGTCCCATGCTTTAAAATAATGTTTTAAATTAGAATTCCCTTAGATTTTATGAACTTCATGTTCCAGGTAAAATTGAAGAGGCCAGAAGGACCATCTATGACCCAGGAGGCCAGCTGGTATCCCGGTTGGGCCTGGGCCTTTGGCTGCGCCATCTATTTCCTGATCACAGTGTCTCTAGATATTCAAAAACCTGGGAGAGATCTTCAGTGAGTTCTGGTACATTTTGAAATAGACTTGGAAAAAGAAATCAAACATTTCACTCATGACTTTAAATAAATGGAATAAAGTAAAGGAAAAATGAAATCTTTCTAAAAAATTTCATGAGTAGCCCTGGCCGGTGTGGCTCAGTTGGTTGGAGTCTTTTCCCATAACCAAAAGGTTGTGGTTTGGATACCTGGTCAGGGCACATACCTAGGTTGCAGGTTCGATCCCCAGTCCAGGTGCGTACTGGAGGCTACTGATAGATGCTTCTCTTGTTCCCTTCCTCTCTCTGTTCCTCTTTCTCTAAAAGCAATTTAAAAAAATCATTGGGTGAGCATAAAAAAAATCATGACTAGAAGGACAAATTTCAAAAACATATGAGAAATTCCAGATTTTTTAAACGTAGTTTGGTTTGAAAAACCCCTGAAGTGTATGAAGTTTTGTATTAGGAACTTGGGATAAAACAATGACTAAAGCAGAGATGGACCCTACAACCTAGGATCATCCAGAGGTTAATCGACCGAGTATCACTGATTTACTCTGAGACTTCGCCTCAGATTAAAAAACATGTTGTGAGAAGTAAAATTTAACATTGAAACAAACATGTTGCTTTGAGGAACATTTTTGCAAATTGATCAAGGAATCTCTGTCTCTGATAAAGTAGTGCTTTGGCCACACTGTAACACCGATGACAATAGAGCACACTTTCCCCTCCTTTTCCAGTGAGGAAGTAAAGGTGGCTTTTAGTAAATGGACCTGTTGACTGTATCCAGACCTTTTTGAACTATGAAGCTGAATTTAGCTACTTTGCATAACCTAGTCGAAATCCAGTTACTTAAATAAAAAGCATTTGCGTTTTACCTCAACTTTGAGGTAACAGTGACTGGGCTTGTTTCTTATACTTACTCCATTATCTTATCATTACCCTTTCTAATTACTCTGTTTTTTATAGGTGTCTTTAAAATAAATATCCTTAAATCTTAATACCCTGACCTTGAACTTTGAAAGTACAAATGTATTTCCTTTGACCATATAATGTAGTTGCATACAATGTTAGTATTCTGTACATTTACTTTTTGTGTAACATATCTAGAAAACAGTCTTTTTCTGTATCAGTATTTGGCAGTTTTTAATTTCCTAATATAATTGTACTAAAGTCATTAAAGTTTTGTACTGTATACTGTAATGTTTTCTATATACTGAGGACCAATATATAACTTGCTTGGGGGTACTGTAAATCAAGAATTTAGGTTTTAAATATTTGACACTATGCCAGTTCAAAAGTTAGTAAACTTAATGTAAACAGTAACTAAAGTTGCAGCCCCTTTTAAGAATGACTACCTACTTTAAAGTAGGAATTCTGAACATTTTAATTTGTTAAATATGAATTGTCTATAAACATTGCGGAAACAGCTCCTTCACAAAAATTACACATCGTTCTTGAATTTTTCAAACAGGGACGGTGAACAGCTGGGGTAAGAGGAGGAAGAGCTCTGATTTAAGTTAGAGAGGTGGCACAGGCGTCGTGCGACCTCATCACAGGCCTCTGGGAAATCTACTGCTGCCCAGTTTCGCAGGCAAAGCCCTGTAGGGGAGGAGAAAATAATTCCTGTACCCTGTGAGTTCTCAGCCAAGACCCCTGTCGTAAAAGACAATTAACAAGTATACATGTGAGATAACCAGGGGAAAATGAGCAGCTCTCTGAGATAGCTTAGAATGCAGGTTTGCATGTCATCTTCATCTGAATACAGGAAGAAAATGAGGGTGGGGAGGCCATTTATGGGGAGGTTACCCATGAAACCATAGTAAAGAAGGGGCGTGTTATGCTGATTTCAGTTGGTGCCTTCTCCATTGAGTAAGATTCTCTTGTGACTTGAAGTCATCCTTCTCCTTCTGGTACAGAGAGGAGGATACTCCTACAAAAGATTTCTTTTACAAATGTAAATTTCCCAAACAGAGGGGAACTTCTCTGTTTTCAGAGCCTCTCCTGTGTTTGCTCTTTCTGAATTATCTTGAAATAACCCCCTTATGCCAAAGAGGCATATTTGGGATAGCATATTCTCTCCTTCAATCCCCAGATGTCATCTGTCACAGATGATAAGTCTATGAATATTGGTCTCTTTCACGCCTAGGCAAGGCATCTAAGATTATTACAAAGTTGAGAACAAGGTAAATCAGAAAATCTTTGAGACAGACTCTTTTAGTCACCTAGACCCCTCACAACTTTAAATTTGAATTCCTAGAAGTTGATCCCATAGAGAGAGTAATGAACAGAGAGACTGGGCCTCTAAATTGTGTTAACTGTTGAACAAAATTCAGCTGAATAAATTTGCAGATCTAATTGGCTTCATTCAATGATTCAGGAATTGTGTAGCATTCTCTCTAGCAGATACAAGGGCTGTACAACATGAAAGTCTTTTATAGGCAAAGGGGGGCTAAACAAGGAAGTTGTGCCCTGACTGGTGTGGCTCAGTGGATTGAGTGTCAGACTGTAAACCAAAGGGCCTCCGGTTCGATTCCCAGTCTGGGCACGTGCTTGGGTTGTGGGCCAGGTCCCCAGTAGGGGGTGCTTGAGGCAACCACACATTGATGTTTCTCTTCTTCCCTTTCTTCCTCCCTTCCTGTCTCTAAAAATAAATAAAATCTTTTAAAAAAATAAACAAGGAAGTTATCAAAGACCAAATAGTTTCAAGCAAGGTCACCTTCCTTTAGGGGAAGGCAGGGGTGTATCTGGCAGATTACCTCACTAGTGTTGATCAGCTAATTTCAGATTGACTGGTTATAGGTTACATGCCTGGGAGAGGCTGAAGCTGCAGTTAGGCATTAAGTCTTTGTTTGCTGACTTGGGGCTTAACACAAGTGACTCCATTGTTGGCCTGTTTCTTTTTTTTTTTTTTTTTTAAACAACTGAAAGAAGAATTTTGTTCAGCATAGTGCGTATTAATTTATATTTTTTGCAACCTTATCTAAAGTTAGATCTGAAATTTTGAATTTTATTTGTTACATGTATATTAATTTAACTGTATAAAACATTCACAGCAAGGAGAGCCAGACTTGTTTTTCAGGCTGCATATATTTATAGTAAAATTCCAGAAAAGGATGAACTGCAGAAATTTGAATATAAGTTGGTAATTTGGAGTTTCAGATTCATACTCACAGAGATGATATTCTAAATGTTGGTTTGGTTTCCAAACTAGCTCACAACTTCTTGGAAAAAAAAGAAAAATCTGTAGTTGATTTAAATACCCAAGTCCTAGTAACGGAAGAAGAAAATTGACGGACTAGGTGGAAGCTCTCAGGTATAGGCAGCTGGCTCGCAGAGGTTCAGGTAGGGACCCAAAGTGATCGTGGCAGGAAATGATTCAGTGTTGTGAGTTGCTGTCTACTGCAGGTGGCGTACTTTGGCAGTATGGAAAGACATTCAGAATGCCAAACTGAGTGTTCATCCGGGTAGACTGCCCTTAAGTCAGGGACTGCCTGCTTCATATACATGTCCCTCTTTCATGTACTTGATTGCTTATTTTATGGACCTAGTAATTTGTTGTGTAATCTGTGAACATGGTATGCATTTTATGAGCCTAGTCTCTCTGTTTCCTTGTTCCTCATCTTCTAAAATGTTTCAGAACAAACCAAAAGTGAGATAAATATTGTTAGCAAATACTTAGTCTTGATTTCGTTGGTTTTTAAACTTCATTGGATCATAGCATGTTTTGTATCATGTAAAGTTCAGTTTGTATTTTAGACTTCTGTGATTGAGGGCAGTAAGATTTGTATTTTAGAAATCTTTGTCTTATTTATAGTTGGTACTGTTTGTGTGTGTGCGCACATGTACCTTGAAGGAGGTGTGACTTGAAATAGGTTTGACTTCTGAGAATTCGTTATAATTTAATTTAGCAGAGTAAGATGAGACTTTTACTCTGTTAAATTAACTTATTTGAAGAAATATAGAGGTGGACAAAAGTAAGTTTACATCTGTGAATGCTTGAGTTTATTTTGCATGACACTTTATTAATTTGTTTATTTTCTTGTCCTAACACCTGTAAACCTCCTTTTGCCCACCCCTGTACTGAGTCAGTTGGAAGGGAACTTGTTCTGAAATGGAAGTGAGTGGAAAGGACCCCAGCTTGTGTGCCGCCTGTGGGAGCACGTATGTCCTCGCACTCACTCGGAGAGTGGAGGAGGGCTGTAGCGGGCGGCCGGCCCTTGTTCCAGCACTTTGTTCCAGCGCGCACACGCAGCCCTCAAGTGACCTGGCTCTCCATGCGGTACGTTTGCAGGACAGAGCATACATTCTCCCTCTGTAGATAGTGCCTGGCTTTTCCTTTTAAGTTATAAGCTTGATCCCCGCTCCCCACCACATGCACGCATTTTAACGTTTCTGAATTCAGGATGTTTTCTGAAACATTAAAATTTCTGGGCCTCTCTCTTATAATTGACGTTTTAAAAAAAAGTTGCCACCAACCACCAAGCAGGGTTTAAAATACGGAGATAGTTACCATTGCCTGAGTTTCTGTGAACTTGTCCTCTTGTGGAAGATTTCTGATATCTGATTTGATGTCTTGGTTCATTTATTTGCATTGGTGATTTCTGTGGCTGAGCTTTAGCTTAAATGTGATTCCTGATTGTAGTTTTAAATGACTTCATAAAGATTATATGATGGGGTGGCATTGAAGTGAAGTGATTTTTTTTGTACTATTGGCTGTCATGACATTAATGACATGACATGACAGTAAAAAAATTAATGCAGTAGAAAGTGTCACATCCCTTCCAGGGGTCCCTAACTTCTGGGCGGAGG